GAGTACAGATATTGTTGCCGGGTTTTGACAACTCTAGGTCTAGAGAGAAGATATAGGCAAGGCGGAGGAGGGTGGTGAAAACATATAGGCAAAACGCGGGGGAGGGTGGCGTGGCGGACTGCCGGTGAAGGTTGATGAGGTGGGGGTGGGACAACTGTTGTTGGTGGCACCGCCGTTTGGGGAGCAAAAAAAAAATAGAATGCTTTGGATGAATAATGGTGTATAGTTGGAGGTCTCAGCTAGAGAAGAGGAATGTTGGTGGGACAACGGATGGAGTGGCGATAGACCGAGGAAGAAGATACACTTTGGATTGTCGGACTCATATTAATGGTCAAGATTCATTGGTTACGACCATTAAACTAGCATCTCCTAGTTTGTTCACTACTTTTATGCAATTGTGGGTTATTCTACCCTTCTCTTCATTCATTACCTATTCTTCATCAGTGACGCTCCAATATCCGTCTCTAGCTACTATTCCATTTCGTTGCAACCTTCACTTCAGCCTCGCATGGCATCACAGATTCACCAAACACATACTCAAGCTATCTTGTGTGCGACGAAGAATACTTCCAACAAAGGTTGGTTAGGCAGGATACGGCCCATGCCACGACTTGCGATTTTCACACGAAAAAGAATGAGGGCAGGTGGCTGGTGGGGGAGGCCCGAGATTAATTTTTTTTTCTATTTGTTTTGCAATATTTTTGGGTCTGAAATTACGATTTCTGAAAAATGATCTGTACCCTACAAATCTTAAGCCGCCTCTACAAATCAATTTGTAGGGTACAACTCAAGATTTGTAGGGTACAGATCATTTTACCAATGAAGGATGATCTTCTAAAAGAAACAATGAAGCATGAAACCGTTAGTGATGAGGTTTTTCAAATGTTTGTGATGAGTTGTTTGTAGTAGTGATCCTGACACGTATGTTGAGATTCTAATAACTTATGGTTTACCAATTATATCATACAGTCTTAAGTTTCTTTCCTTTTAAAAGACAACTGATGGGCAGAGAGAGATCCCCAGAGCTTCCAGCCTACGTACCAAAATCAACATTTTAAAGTTTTATCTAATTCAAACTATCCTCGCAAGGATAACCAATCAGGTGCTGTCCCTCACCTATATATATGATGTGCTCTCCCATGGTGAGGTTGCACCCTAAAGCATGTATGAAAAAAATCTACAAATTAACGTCATTTCAAATTATAAGACATTTTTTAGCTTTTTTAGATACATGGAGAGATGCTCTTACATGCCTTCAGTTTCTACGTTCTACCTTGTTTAATCAACTGATGACAGATATTCAAATAAAAAAATAATAAGAATCTAAGTAATTCCATCAATCACATATTATCTTCATATGCACACATGAAAAAAACAGACATTTCAATTACAGACAAATATTCGCAAAGATGTTTGGATTGGTACGGTCAAATCATTGGAGTGAACTAATAATGATGCAAATTCACATCAGTTACTTTCCGAGCTATACAAATCTCTTGCTTTGCAGTTGAAATTTGTATTCCTTCATAATAAGGTCTCACCTGCCGCTCCACCAGAAACAACACCACGTCGTGGTTCAATATATTTCACTGTCTGGTTGCCCGTTATACCATCACTAGTTCACCACTAACATTTACAATCACGAGCACATGAAAGATGATTAAACCCATTTGGTGACAACATAGGAAACAATCAGAGGAAATATTAAACACATTTGGCGACAACATAAGCGCATACAATCACTGAATCACAGGAAATTAAGTTTAAACTCATTTGGTGATAACATAAGGATACAGTTACATGAAAGATTAAACCCGGCCCAACCCGGCCCATTTGGTGACAACATAAGCATAGTCTAGTCAGATGACTCGAGCAGCCAACATCACCATGTATCCATATGGGCCTGTCTGGTGTTTACACAAGGGTATTTAACATAGATAACACAACATGCTAACTACCCTAGATAGATTTTCTAGTAATGCCGCTTATAACTATCTGCAGGCACATCAATTTTCACGCCACCTCAAGCCTGACGAGGCACCTCACTCATTGGTTGAGGGATCGGTAACCCACCAAAATCTTGTGGGAAGAAGTTGAAGTTTGGCCCAAAATTAAATTTTACTATACAGTTGGTGGGCTTGTTGGGCATAGTATACAACGATGCAGCTGTGTAATACCTCCCTCCTAAAATGTCCTCGAGAAGGCATGGCCTTGGCATATCCCATTTTTGAAATAGCATATCTTACTCCCCGCATATGCAAATTGTCAGAACAATAGTAAAATAATGGATACGGAAAATAACTGTAAAAGAGAGAGAGAGCATGTGACACATCATTTTCTACATTCAAGCTCGCTGAAAATAGTGTAATAATGTAATGGAACACAAAAAAAAGATCAATATATCTGTGCGTTGAACACCCAATATTCAAACATTTTACCATTGATGTGATAACTAAAAACCTCCCAAGCATAACCAATTGGGATTTCTTACTACCTTACACAAAAAATCAATGTTAAAGATGCAACAACATCCTTCAATAGTTAAATATTGGAGATGCACCTTATTCATGTCGAGCAGCAACTATAAGGGGCAAAGGTGCTACGATGACAGGAAATATAGAGTCCTGGATGAAAAGGATAAATTTTCAATTAGCATTGCAGCATCAATAGAGTAATAAAGCTCCACTGGATAAAAGTAATAAAGCTCCAATCCACTGGTCGGATTCATTGCAACACACATTAGTTTATTAGGCTTTGGAGATTATTACAGGATGAATAAATGGGAACTACTACTTCCATTATCCAAAAGTCTGAAGCATGTTTTCTTTCTTATTTTGCCCAGCAGGGTAAGGTGTGGTTGGATTGTTCCCAATACATATTTCGGTGATTTTGGTGGGATATTTCCACTAGTTACTAGAGCAATTGAAAGAGTTACAAAAAAAATGAGTTCCAAGAACCTATTTCCCCAAGCAGCCAAAAACAATTAGGCGCAGAAAAATGCATGTACTCCAACAATTCATGATTATAAAAAAAATCAAATCCTACAGTACTGTTCATCAACCGACAACAGCTGAGCCTCTAGTCAGCCATGCACAGTTGGCCGCGGCCACGGTCTCTGGCTAGGGGCTGCCATGGTCAGCCATGGTCAGCCAAGTCACAGAATCGACGGTGGAAAATGCAAGGAATTTAATTTTTCAAAAAAAAAATGCAAGGAGTTTCACTGCACCAGCGAATGTCTTTAGGGGCGGCTGCCAGGATTTTTAAGGGCGGCTATGGCCAGCCGCCCCACCCAGCCCGTATTTACAAATGCGGATTTGTAGGGGCGGCTGATCGATTTATAGGGGTGGTTGGATATTGAACCGCCTCTATAAATTATTTTCTGGAATTCATGAATAAATCCCAAAAAATAGCAAAACATTTGTTTTTAATCCAGGAAGGTCACCACTGGTCAACCACCCACACATTCGACCCATGGCTATTTTTTCACGTTTTTTTGATACTTCGCGGCTGCCAGCCTTCGACCCATGGCTATTTTTTTCATGTTTTTGGACACTTCATGCTGCCAGCCTTCACCCATGGCTATTTTTTTTTTTCACGTTTTTGGACACTTCATGGCTTGCCAGATTGCGGCTGCCAGCCTTCGACCCATGGCTATTTTTTTCATGTTTTTTGGACACTTCGCGGCTGCCAGCCTTCGACCCATGGCTATTTTTTTCACGTTTTTTGGACACTTCGCGGCTGCCAGCCTTCGACCCATGGCTATTTTTTTCATGTTTTTTGGACACTTCGCGGCTGCCAGCCTTCGACCCATGGCTATATTTTTCACGTTTTTTGGACACTTCGCGGCTGCCAGCCTTCGACCCTGCGACCTCTCTCCCAACACACTAAGTCCTCTACCACCGCACTACACACTCACATGTACAAGTCATTTCGGTTCGCCACATATTATACTAAACCAAGTGTAAATTGATTGTTTGACGTCCTAAACGAATTCAAATCAAAAAATTATCAACTACAAAGTTTCATAACTTTGAGATCTACACTTTTTGTTTAGGAAGTTTCTCCATCCGAGTTCGTTTACAAAATTTGAATTTCAAATTTGAGAAATTCAAACGTAGTTTGCATGCAAGATGATTTCAAATTAAAAAGTTGTCAACTACAAAGTTTCATAACTTATCGAGATCTACAATTTTCGTTTTGGTTGTTTTTACATACGAGGTCGTTTGAAAAAATCGAATTTTAAAATTTTGAAATTCAAACGTTGTTTTGCATGACAAAATGACTTCAAATCAAAAAGTTACCAGCTACAAAGTTTCATAACTTTTTTAGATCTACAATTTTTATTTTGGTTGTTTTTTGATCCGAGGTAGTTTGAAAAATTCAAATTTTAAATTTTTGGAATTCAAATGTAGTTTTGCTTGACAAGATGATTTCAAATCAAAAAGTTGCCAACGTCAAAGTTTCATAACTTTTTGACATCTACAACTTTCATTTTGGTCATTTCTCCATCCGAGATCGTTTGAAAAAATTAAAATTTTAGTACTTCATTTTAAATATCTGACATCCATTTGTAAGGGCGCTTCAATATAGATCCGCCCCTACAAATCAATTTGTAGAGGCGGCTGGATATTGAGCTGCCCCTACAAATGGACGCCCATTTGTAGGGGCAGCTCATTCTAGAGCCACTCCTACAAATCGATTTTTAGAGGCAGCTGAATATTGAGCCGCCCCTACAAATAGAGAACCATTTGTAGGGGCGGCTCATTATAGAACCACCCCTACAAGAAAAAGGGTGGCATTCCTACAAATCGTTTTTCACGTAGTGTTTGAAACAAGCACTCACCGGAACATGAGCCTGTAAGTCCCCGCCTTTGCACAAGAAAAAGGCTTGCCCTTGCTGTTCAGATTCACTTGACCTCATACCTCTCGCCATCAGGCAGAGAGATGTAGAACCCTAGCACATCTCCTTTCCCGTACCCTTCATCACCATAGTTGTCCCTCTAGGACATGTGCACCTTTGTGCCATCAGTGTCACGGTACCCAAAGCCATACGCGCCACAACCGACGGGCATGTCGATGTCCGCCATGTTGGTCGCCCACCCGAGGTGGGTGTGGCCGGTGCGGCCTAGGTGCAGGACCTTGACCTTGAAGTACCATGCTCCGACCGCGACGCCGTGTGTGGCACGCACCATGCGGTAGCCCTTGGAGCTGGCGGTGGTGAGGCGGTCAGCCGAGAGCACGATCCTCTCCGACTTGAAGACGCGTGAGAGGAGCATGGGCTGCCTCAGCGCGCAGACCTCGCGCCAAGGCGTGCCGTGCCGAGGCGGGCGGCGGGCGGCAAAGGGCGCAAGGCGCGCTTTCTTCTTATTTTGGGCTTATGGAGGTGGACCTACTCCGGATGTTGTTTTCGTCCCTCTTGAGTTCTTGGGCACCGCGCCGGCTTGTTTGCACGACCCTCCGTCACCGTCGACGAAGGTTGCGAGACCCAAGGAAGCATGGGTAACATGGAGGCCGAGGTTTTGGAAGGCATTAGAGATCGATGCACCCGTGGCGGGCAGCAGCGGGGCTGGGTGACATCGGACAGAGGCTGCATCGCAGGCGGCGGCGATGGAGGGGCCATCGATCGGGTGCGGATCGGCGGCGGCGGCGATGGAGGGGCTACCGATCGGGAGTGGATTGGAGAGGATAGGATTAGGGTTCAGACCGAGTGGGGATCGGGGAAAGTGGAGAGCCTCTTCGAACTGGCAAGGCACGGTGTGCGTGACTGGCCTGGGGTTCCTCTTCTCCTCTGTTGTAGCCTTGCGGGGGACCGGGGAGCGGGCTGCCGCCAGCGTGCCGCACATGCTCGCCGCTGCTGTCCACGTCGCCGCGCGCAGGTGCAGCCTGCGTCATCCATTTTGCGCGTCTCCTGCTACAAAACGCCCAGGTCAGGCGTTGTCTCTGGGTTCATAATACTTGGTGTGGCATGTTTGAATTGAGATACCCAACTTTCAATGCCGCCGCCGCAGTGTGTGTTTTTTTTTTTGAAAGGCCGCCGTGATGTTTTCGAGAGCTAGGGAGGGTCGCCGGAGTTCAGATGTTGTTGCGGTTTTAACTACTCTAGGTCTAGGAAGATATAGGCGAAATGCCAAAATGCATGATTAAACCCATTTGGTGACAACATAAGCATATACAATCACATGAAAGATAACACATTCAGTGATAACATAAACATACAATCACTCAATCATAGGAAAGTTTAAACTCATTTGGTGACAACATAATCATACAGTCACATGAAAGATTAAACCCAACCATTTGGTGACAACATAAGCATATATATAGTCTAGTTATATATGACTCGAGCAGCCAACTTCACCAAGTATCCATGGGACTGTTTGTGGTGTTTACACAAGGGTATTTAACATAGCTAACACAACATACTAATTACCCTAGATAGATTTTTGAGAAATAGCATTTTGGAGATGCACCTTCAATAGTTAAACATACACCTTATTCATATATGAAAGCTAATAAACAACTTCAATAGTTAAATATTGGAGATGCACCTTATTCATGTTGAGCAGCAACTATAAGAGGCAAAGGTGCTATGATCATTGGAAATATGGAATCCAAAATGAAAAGGATAAATTTTCAATTAACATTGCAGCATCAATAAGTAATAAAGCTCCACTAGTATGGATAAGCAGAAATATAACGATATCATAACAGCATGCTGGATAAAAGTAATAGAGCTCCACTGGTCAGATTTATCTATGCAATGCACATTAGTTTAGGCTTTCAAGATTATTACAAGATGAATACATGTGAACTAATCTACAACATCTCAAGCATTGACACTGAGTGGATGCATGTTTATGGAATTCTCTTATTTGTAAATACTAGAGTTCATGACCACTTCATTATAACAATTGCATGCATGGATTATGATGTCCCTAAACATTTCATAAGGTGCTAACTGAAACCAATTTTTGGGGAATGGGTTGGGGGTTCATTTTGCAAGACGTAACCTTACTTTTTGCCTATGCATTAAACACATACATGAGTGCAAACAAGTGTGTGTGTGTGTGTGTGCTCTCGCGCTGTCGGTGTTTCGAACAAACACCGGCAAGTGAATTTATAATTGATGCACGTTAGGCCCGGATGGTGTGCTAAAGGACACAAGGTTTATACTGGTTCGGGCCGAATGTCCCTACGTCCAGTCCGCTGCTGCTGCTTGTATTATTAGCACCAAATATGGTTCATAGTAGGGGGTACAAATGGTCGAGAGAGGGAAGGGTCCCAGGTCTCTGATGGAGGGGTTGAAAGGATGCCAAGGGCCTGGCGGCGACTTGGCTGTGTGAGTGGAACAGAATGCTCTATGAGCTCGTCTGTATGTGAGTTGTCCGTTGAAAGTCGATTCGTTCGGTCCCTCTCCTCATAGGGAGCCCTGTCCTCCCTTTTATAGACGAAAGGGGGAGCAAGGGTTACAGGTGAAAAAATACCAAGGGTATAGAAGGTCCTTCGAAGGGCTCGGGTCTTCCTTTCCCTCCAAGCCAACCTCAAACACGACCAGTGGGTGTCAGAGGTTGGCATGTTCGCCGGATACTTGTGTGATGACGATGCTGCGTCTACAAGTGGTCACGTCCCATCCCGCCTCTGCGGGCGGCGTGTCGGGCAGGAGTGCCGGCCTGCGATACTGTGGGGGGCGAACGGTGCGGCACCCCCACGCTTGTTAGCATCGGGGACATGAGTCCTATTGTGGTGTTTGTGTCAGGCTCCGTGCTCGAGGGTTGAAGGCGACGCCCGTAATACTGTAGGCCGTAAAACCCGGCACCTACAGTACTACTCAGGTTCTGTCATGTCCGGCAGGGCCTAAAGCGCTCGTCTCGTCGTACATCGATGGTACTTGTCAGTATTGCAGGGCATGGTCCTTGCTTCCGTGGTTTGACCCTAACGTCCTGTCTTACCCTGTTCCTACCATCTCTTTGCCGAGTGCAAACTTGGGTTTGCCGAGTGTTTAGGGCACTCGGCAAAGAACCCGTGTCCAGTAGTGATGCCCGCACTAGGCAAATTGCGAACCGAGCGTTCGAGCGGCCCTGCTGCTGCATGTTCCTCCTCCCCTAGGCCCCTCTTCCCACACTCCCCTAACACTGCCATAGCCGCACCGCACAGGCAGAGGCGCATCGCGCACCACGAGCCCGGACCGCCCCCCAGCAATTGGTCCATCGTCGTCCATCTCCATCTCCCCGCTTCTCTCCCACAGCGCCTTGATCGGCCTCGTCCATGATGGCGCCCAGGGCAGCCAGGCAGCTCACGCATCGTGGTGGTGGCGGTGGCTCAGGCGCCGGCCTCTCGGTGTCGGTAGCCCTACAGCCTACTCTAGCTGATTGCTATTGCTATGAATGTGTGTACTTGATGTGTGGATTCGCAAAAGAAATATTTCGGATCTGTGTTCCTTGATGGACTTGGTTTCTTTGATTTATCGATCAATTTCCTCTCGATCTGTGATTGAGTTTCCTTTCCATCTGTGATTGGTGAGTTCCGGATCGACGCCTTTTAGCCACATGTTCGTGGGTTTCGGGAACCCGATGGGTTCGGGGCGGTGGCAAATTTTCCCTGCTATAAGGTTCGGGCGGGTTCAGTTTTGTTGTCGGGTCTCGGGTGCAGGTCTCTGAATGCTCCACCGCCCCAAACCCGCCCGTTGCCATCCTTAATTAAACATGGAGTCTAGGATCGGGCTATCCAGATGGGGGATTACGAGTCTTGGATCTCATGTGGGGCGGTTGCTCAAGATCGAAGATGACCATCATCGTCGGAGGAGGAGTGACCCAACCTCGGAGACTATCGTCATCATTGTCATCGTCTAAGGAGGGAGGTGCGCATGCACCTGCTTTGAGGGCACCGTCCCCGGTGAGTCCAAGACCAGCTGGATCTCGTGTGGGAGCGCCTTGATGGTTCTTTGGAGCTCGAGATGACCAACCGTCCCTATATGAGGGACGTTAATTACCAACTTGCAGCAGCACCATCTTGGGTGTCCTCACCTAGATCCCGCAGGCATTGAAGAGCATGACCCGGCGGTCGATCCGCCAAGTCCTCCACAGCGGCATCTCGGTCGTGCCGCATAGCGCGCATGGCTTGTCCTGCTTCTTCGCTGTCCTCTTCCGCCTGGCCTTCTTCTTGGCTGACGCCGGGTGGGAGAATGCGGTGCTCGAAACCCCACTTGTGGCCTTGTCGGACGACACGGTCCGGAGACATGGCTATGTGTCTTGTGCTGGAATTGGGGGCTGGCAATGTTGGAGCTGACGCTGACCAGACTAGAGCCAACGACGAACAGCAAAAGCACCCAAGCGTGAGGATTTGCGGACGTAGTCAGCCCCCTCCGTCCCCGCTCCTCTTTGCTAGCACCACCACCGCTGGCCATGTCGCCAGTCTCCATGCATTGTCGCCGCAGATTCCCCAGTTGGGCCTAACCCAGGCAACTGCGGTTCGTTGGAGGCTGTCCTCGCCGTCTCTAGTGGCTGGGAACGGCACTGTTGCTTCTGCATCGCCATGGAATTCTAGGCAGACAGCCCTAGGCTCTAGCAGATCTTTGTGTCTTGGAAGCTGGAGGCCGTGATGGGATAGAAATACTGTTGGAGGGAGGAGTGTGGAGCGAGATCAGGTGTGGGAAGGCAACAAGAGTAGACTGCAGTCGAGGTGTGGTGTGTAGAGTTTGATTTTCAGAACCTAGTAGTTCTATTTTACTGTGTTGGTTGGGAGTTCGGTCATGGGTATATGAACTTTGTTTTTGTGTGTGCTGGGAGGTTGGCCAAGAGGTCGTTTTGTTTTCTTTGTGTTGAAGATCGGACAGTAGGCCCATTGGAGTAGCACTGAAAGATTTATACTGCCTTTGGTCTTGATTATAGTAAGAGTGGGGGATCAATTACTATAATTCTAAAAAAAATCATTTGGCAGGACATAACCTTAATTTTTGCATATGCATTAAACACACATACATATGTGTTTGTTCGAGAGAAATGCACCTTGAGATTTTTGTCCTGAGGGACAACTGTATATATAGTGTGTGCCATGCAGGGAGATACGGTGAATTGGCGATTTCATAAATATTTAAGTAGTATATATGTAATGTCTAAAAAGGGGATAATAATTTATTGTGTAATGGTGAACTAGGAAAACACTATGCCGATCCAAAACCAAGAGACAAAGGTATATATTACGCACCTGTAAAGCATGAGAGCAATAAACCTTCAAATGTTTAATTCAACATCAGTGCACCATACATGCATATGATTTA